ATTAGGGCCAAGAATGTTTTAGTCATAATCCCAGTGTTACAGAAATATGAATACCTATTTTCATATTTCAGTATTTCTTCCACAGTGACTCTGTTTTTAATCTGTTCTGGTTTTAATATTGTTGGCCTTTTTTGTATTATATTTTGTATTACAGTTTGATTACTGTATTTTATTTCGTTTTAAAGGCAACAATTGTTTCATGATATCAAACATTGTATTTATTTGATTTTGATTTGATTGCTTTGTATCTGGCAGTTGTAAACTGTGGATCATGGCTTTGTAGGGAGCATTGCAGTATATAAACATAAATAATAGAACACATATATTTGTTGATATATATATCAACACACACACACCAGAAATAAAAATGGATACATTGTAAAAATGCAACGATGCCAGAAATGTGTTATCTACCATAAAACTATTAAAATGTTAATAAATTGTTTTCTAGTAGCCTAAATCAGGGGTCCCCAACTATGGTCTATGGCCTGGTACTGGGCCGCAGGAATAGCTGGTGAGGCCCCCTCACTTGTGATAGCTTTGCCGCATGGGTGCTACTAGCCCCATTTGTGCATGTGTGGGGGTGCTAGCAGTGCCACCAGCATCACACGGGGGCCAGTGGCCCGTTTGCGGATGTGTGTGGGCACCAATGGCCCGTTTGCGCATGTGCGCGGGTGCCAGCAGCCCATTTGCGCATGCATGCACTAGCATCTCCGCCATGCGTGGGCTGCGCACACACATTTCCGTGCTCCTCCCTTTCTTTCCAGGCTGCCAAGCCAGAAAGATTGGGGAGCTCTAGCCTAAACAATACACTGTAATTACACATCTAAAATTTCATATTACCATGAATCCTACTTAACCTAGCAATATAAAACATGCAGTTTTAGGTAAATTTCCTCATTCCACTTTACTCCTCTTCTGATCCAATAACTGAATTTGCTTTCTCCACACTTCTCGCTGATCTAATTCTACACTTGTTAAGAACTAATGATGGAACAAATAACAGAAGATGTATTTTAAAATAGAAAAAAACACTGTTTTTTTCCTTGAGGCTGCAGATTGAAAACTTGTTGCAAGATATAAAATAATAAAGCTGATTAACTTAGAGATAAAATATACTAAATCTCCCATGATCATTATCTTAATCACTGCTAATAATAGACTGCAGTACCAACTATTATTCTCATTTGACATAAGAACTAGTCAGAAGCTGAAATTCTGCCTTTCTTAACAACTTTTTCCCCATTTCCGTAGGCTATACCATCAAGTAAAGAATATACCATACAAACGTTTATATGCTACTGGTATTACATTTGAAGATATAGCAAGCTAAAGATAATCAAAATCATTTCAGACAAAATGGTTGATTTGATCTGAAAAGAATTGTTTTATTACTAGACTCCAGAATCTAAATTTCTAAAACCACATTTTAAAAAATGTGATACATTTTCTGTTACCTTTTCTGTTACGCCATAGAGCAACTACTTCTTTACTAAGTGCAGCACTTCTTATAATAAAAAACTGACAAGATGACCGAAGGAAGTGCCTATTTTATTTTCTCAGTAAGATATATGAACAATAGATCCTTAAAAGAACAAGGTAGAAATATTTTTAGAATAAAATAGAATAACAGAGTTGGAAGGGACCTTGGAGGTCTTCTAGTCCAACCCCGTTTAGGCAGGAAACCCTATACCATTTCAGACAAATGATTGTCCAATCTCTTCTTAAAAACTTCCCGTGTTGGAGCATTCACAATTTCTGGAGGCAGGTTGTTCCACTGATTAATTGTTCTGTCAGAAAATTTCTCTTTAGTTCTAGGTTGCTTCTCTCCTTGATTAGTTTCCATCCATTGCTTCTTATCCTGCCTTCAGATGCTTTGGAGAATAGCTTGACTCCCTCTTCTTTGTGGCAACCCCTGAGATATTGGAACACTGCTATCATGTCACCCCTAGTCCTTCTTTTCATTAAACTAGACATACCCAATTCCAGCAACTGTTCTTTATATGTTTTAGCCTCCAGTGCTCTGATCATCTTTGCTGCACTTCTTTGTACTCTTTCTAGAGTCTCAACCAGTGGTGGGATTCAGCCAGTTTGCACTGGTTCAGTAGAACCGATAGCTAATTTTTTGTTGACTTCAGCGAACAGGCTGAAGCCCTAGCCCTTTTTCACAAGGCCCAGTATGGATCGCTACAAGTGCGTGGACATCACTTCCACAAGTCTGCTCTGAGCCGGGGAGGCCTCCCAGGCCCAGAATGGCCCATTGGACGTGTGTGGACGCCACTTCTGGAAGTCTGTTCTGAGCCAGGGAGGCCTCCCAGGCCCAGAACGGACTTCTGGAAGCAGCATCCATGCAGAAAACCGGTTGTTCAGGTATTTGAATCCCACTGCTGGTCTCCACATCTTTTTTACATCGTGGTGACCAAAACTGGATACAGTATGTGGCCTTACCAAGACTTATTAATATTATGGAGAGTTTCCCCATTCTAATCCAGAGTGTCTTTTACATACTCATACCTGTCATCAGTACTCTGCTCATCATGTAAAAGACGTTCCTTGTTTAAACCTATCTTTTCAAGTTCATGTGTAAGCTTTTCCAAGTCATTATTCATCTGCTGTGTCTTCAGTTTTTCATTCACCAAATCCTTAAAACAAAGCAATGGATCGAACAAATGACTATTTGTTACAAGATATAACAAAGGAGACACAGATTTTCAGAAATTCCTAGAAAGGTTCCTGTACAACTCATACTTGTTTCAAACAGTACAAAATTGGTCAAATTTGTTTAATATAAACAAAATAAGATACAGAAAAAGATAACTCATCTTCAACTCTCTATTATTACAATACTGCATTAAAATCTAGAAGATCAGCAGTTGAGAACAAAGTAAAATGTATGATATATGATTATATATTCAATAATGTCTTTGCTTTAGTGAAAAACTTTTTTTACTTCTGTAAGTTATAATTCTTGATATTTTGTAAATCCTCCTTAAATCCAATGTTTTTATATATTCTTTGTTCTACCTATGCTAGTTTCTCAAACCTCTGGTTCTGATCTAGAACCTTCAGGAAAATTACACATGATCATATGACGACTATGTGGATGGGACTGATAAAATTCTCTACCTTCTGCTATGACATTTAACCAAATTTTAAAAATCCAGAAAAGTAGAAGAAATAATCTAGAGAATGTCCTAAAACAATTAGGAATTTACAAAGATTACTTCCATAGTAGCCCTTTTCAATGAAATTGCTATCCTTTGTTCATAGTATTTAGGCTATACCTCTGCTAAAGAGTTGTTTTCTAGGTTTCCCTGTTCTATATTCCTATATGTTCCTTTAAAACAAGCATGTCAAACTGCCAGCCATATGCGTCACGCCAAAACTGTGCCCACCCCATTGTCAGCAATGAGGGAAAAGTCGTGACACATCATGCAATGTCATGTGACATCACGAGTTTGATATGCCTGCTATAAAATAAAAACCTACTTCATGTTTTCAAAATGATCAAAACTTTTTCATACACAGAGAATGTCAATTGAAATCATCTTATGTTAGATATAACTAACTTAAAAAATAACTTATTTCAAATGGAGTTAAAGATATTACAGTACTATTCTGTTCACTTTGGAAGGATAGTTACTAAAGCTGAAGCATAAATATTTTGGCCACCTAATGAGAAGCAAGGATTTATTGGAAAAGACCCTGATGTTGAGAAAGATTGAAGGCAAAAGGAGAAAGGGATGGCAGAGGATGAGATGATTAGATAGTGTAATTGAAGCAATAAACATGAATTTGGGCAAATGTCAGGAGACAATGGGGACTACGGCTGGCATGTTATGGTCCATGGGCTTGCAAAGAGTCTGGCGTGACTTAACAACTGAACAACTACAAAAATCCTGTTCACTATGGACAAACAAATCAGCAGTAATGTTTACAAATACCACTGAGTTTTTAATTCAGTATGTTCTTCTTTTAAAAAACTGACTCCATTATTTCTTTTTATTAAGAACAGCAGGATGATGTTTGATTGATCGGTCTTACAATTAAGTAGCTTCTGTGTAATGTCAATCAGAATAGATTACAGTATAATTTTCACTGTTTCTACTGTTGTTTTATAGCAAAATAGCTATGACTTCAGGATAAAACAGTGAAGTAAAGTTGCACACCCTCTTTGTTGATTAACTAAATGCACAATGTTAGCAGGAAAAAAACTGAAAAAGCAAGGTGGAAGCTATTACTTAACTTTGAAGGGGGATAACTTATATATGTCACAAAAGAGCCCTGGAGAAGGCAATTGCTGTATGACAAAAATATAGTTAAGTGTCAATTTATTCCATTTAAAAAAAGTTCTTTCAAGAAATGTCCAGTAGCAGTTAAGCAGCTATGGTGTGGAAAAACCAAAGTACAAGTACTCACAGAACTGACACATCTAACTAAAGAAAAAAAATATTCTGATTTATATATTATATGGAAGCCCATAAAATAGTACAAACTTAATGTCTTAAAACATCTAAACAATATTTCTGAATCTGAGTTTATAAAGAGGTTTTAACAGTACGTCTAAATAAATTAAAATAAAAATAATTTCTGATCAGTAAATTACTGTTGAAATAACATTGATATATAACTAGTACATTACAGCTACGTTCCTCTTTATAATGAGAGCATATCATGCAATAGTGGATATTACCTCACGTAATGTGACAAGTGTTTTTTTGTCAATAGTAGCTCTTTTTACAAGCTCTTTATTTTCCTTTTCCACTTCTTTTAGACGAATAGAGGCTTCTTTACATAAACCAATTTCTTTAAAGAGTGACTTGTTCTCTTTTTCCAGGTGACCTATTTTCACATTATTTTCTTCTAGTGTGTTATCCATAATATCTGCTTGTTGCCTGAGCCTTTTATTCTCTTTCTCTAGCTGTTTCTTATCTTTTTCCAGCTGGGTTGTCTCTTGCTCCAAAAGTTTATTCTCTTTTTCTAATTTTTCTAAACGTTTACTGGAGATTTTGAGTTCCTCAAGATTTTTTTGCAGGGTTTGATTTTCTGACTCCAGTTCTTGTAATTCACTTTCTAGATGTTGAATTTTTTTGTTGTTGTTTTCTAGGGTTTTCTGCAACCTTTGATTTTCTGTATCCAAGCCTTGATAACTTACTTCCAAACGTTCTGTCTTTTTAAAAGATGTTTTCATAAGCTCCAGGCTCTTCTGTAGTTGTCCTTTCTCACTTTCCAGTTCTTTATTTTCTAATTCTAACTGAGCCATCTTGATATTGTTACTCTTCAAAGATTCAACAGTTCTTCTGAGTTCTAAATTTTCTTCATCAAGTTGTGCGTTCTCTTTCTCTAAAGACTCTAACTGAAAGCTGAGATTTTTCAGACTGTCTAAAGCCTTTTTCAGCTTTCTGTTTTCAACATCTAGACTGGAGTTCTCTTGTTCTAAAGAATCAATTTTTTCACATGTAATTTTTAAATTAGTAATCCTTTTCTGTAATAGTTCATTTTCTTTTTCAAGATGATGAACTTCTTTCTCCAACTCATCCATTCTTTCTCCCCTTTCTTTATAATGTTCCAACTCTTTTTTCATTTGCTTCTTTTCAAATTCTACTTTACTCAGTTTGCTACTTGTCTCCTTGATAGATTCATGGAGAATTTTATTTTCCTTCTCAATATCTTTTACTCTTGCTTCAGCACTGATTTGTGAACGCTGTCGAAGTGAAGTGACAGTTTGATTCAAGTGTTCAATTTCCTGTTCCAGGATTTTAATCTAATTCATTGAAATGAAAAATGCAAGTTTAAATCAGGTATGGGTATTTTGTAGTTAGATAATATAAATGGCTTCTAAGATTTAGATTTAAGATTTAAAAGAATGCATTTTACAGTCTAAATTATAAAACTAAGTTTTGACCTGCAGTGAGGCAGTTAACATTATTTTATCAACCTATACGTACTTGAATCCAAACATCTCATATTCAAATTAGTAGAGGACAGGCATTTTGAGAAGTTAGTAGAGTTCTTCCTTAAGCACTATATCAATTTAATCAATAGGAAGATTTCTCTTTGATAAAGAATGGGTGTCAGAGAGCTAAAACCCTGGAAGAAGGACTTTTTTGGTCAAAGATTATAATGGTTTGGCTTACTCTTTAACTCTTTATACTTTAGCAAAAGAAAAAAGAAAAGAAAACATCTGGACAAAGACATTAGGCAAATAGAGCTAATTATATTGTCAACTCAAATAATTTCTTGAGTGAATCAAGAAAAAATACTTGAACTATTCTGTTCGAAGAAAAACCCAACAGTCACACATTCTAGGGATAATGAGCAAATTTTCTGGACAAATTGCCTCCCACTTGAATCATTTGTTTCTTCAAAGAATATACATGTATTCTAGTTAATCAGATGTGAAAGGGAAGGGCTGCTTGCTCACTGAAAGGGTAATCATTAATGCATATGTTTCTGTCTCCAGCCTTCTTGTATATTGTGTGGAAANAATCTTGGAAGATTTTGCAATATTGTGAGGTTTACGACACAATATTTGTTTTTGTTCTTAAATTCTGAAAATATAAAATATTGTTGATTGCTGATATTATACAGAAAATAAGTTGTACAAAAATCATTCTCTTCCACTTATGACAGTTTCTGTTAGATTAAGAATATTTTATCAAAACACCAGAGAATATAATCGTTATTATTTAAATATACAAACCTCAATAAAACAAATATCTGTGTATATTACCTGTCTCTCTGAATTTTCTCTCAAAGTTTCAATCGTTTTTTCAAGCTGTGCTTTCTCTTTCATGAGATCTTTGCAAAGATTCTGACTACTCTGATGACTCTGTTTCTCTTCAGTAAATTCGTTCCTAAGTCCTTCAAGCTGTAGGGAAATTCACCAAATTTAAATTTTGATTTAATAAAAAATTCAGGTCTATATGCTTTTTGAAGGAACAGATTAAATAATATTTTCCTATATCAAAAGTCTATCAGGAATGAAATTTTAATAAAAGAAAAATTGCATCTAAGATGTTATGCCATAGGTTATTTCTTCATTAGGAAAGGTTCCTAAAGGAGCCTTTCAACAGAAACTGCCAAATGTTTCAATATACAATACCTTAGAAAATATAAAAACATAAAGGGTTGCTTTACATAAAATATTTTGTATTTTTATTATCACATGTTAACATTTTAAATGGGAAGAAACCAAACATGCTTATATATATGTTTTTCTGCTTAAAAATTATACTTCTTTCCATGGGATATAGCAAAAACATTAGATTAAAAAGAGAACTTTAAAGAGAGATTAGGATAACAGGACCTGGGTAACATGCCCATGAGGATTAAAAATTAACTGGAGCTTTATTTATCCATATCTCAATTTTAATTTCTCTCTCATTCACCTTGCAGTCTTCTTTGTATTCAGTCCTTATAATCATCTATCACAACAAATATTCACCGATTTTGTTGCTTATCTTTACTTTGCTAACATTCATTCACCTTCCCACCCTATGTGTTCTCTTCCTTCTCTTCTCTATTTTCTCTCCAAAATTATATATTAACAAAAACTCCTAATGAATTCCACTACAAAAAAAAAATCTATACTAAAATCCCCCCAAACGAAATATTATTCCACTAGCACAGCCAGTAAAATTGATAGGAATATTGTTATATATAAGAGGATAAACAGAAATGGGCAGATACAATTACGTTTATGGCAGCAGCATTGTTCTTTTGATATATTGACAAAAGCTAAATTTATAGAATATCATTAGTATATAACATCTTTCTAACAGAATCATAAGATAACTGATACCTTTTTATTTAGCCTTTGATTTTCTTTTTCCATTTTCATTAGTTTTGAGTTATTGCCTTCTACGGAACCCATTGCATTTTGTAATTCTTCTACTGTTTTTAATAAAGTTTGGTTTTCCATTTCTAGTTTTAATAATCTACTTGATGTTAGTTCATTCACTTCATGACCAAGTGACTTCTGTGGCACTGTTGAGTTAAAATGGAAGGTAAAAAGGATAAATTACCCCTTTGTTATCTAAACCATTACTTATATATAATTAGAAAAGGTCAGCGTAGTATAAAGCAAGGGTCTCCAACCTGTGGTCCGCAGCCCACTACCGGGCCGTGGCCTCATGGCCACGAAACAAGCTGGCCAGTGTGCGCACATGTGTGTTTGCACTTACCCCCACTCACGGCGGCGGTGCTACACAAACGGGGCACCGTGCGGTGAATGCAGGGCAGTGCTAGCGCCCATGCAGCAAAAATGAGGTGGTGCTAGCGAGTGTCATGCAGGTGCTAGCAACGCCCCGTTTGCGTCGCACATGTTCGCGGCCCCGAATTAATTTCTGATTTTTTGGGATAAGGCACTACTTCCACTTAATCAATGCTGCATAAATTATTTTCAAAAATAACTTTATAACTTAAACAAGATCAATAATATATAACTGGAGGCTTCATTTAATTTGCTGTGAGATTGGCTGCATCCACTTTCTTGAGTGAATTCCGCATTTGAAAAAATGTTTAGAGGCATTTGTTCAAGATGAGGAGATATAAAAATTGAAAATAAAAAATAAAATAAAATAAATAAAATAAATAAAATTAAATTAAAAATGCTAATAACAAGCAAAACTAGCAAGCAGCAAGTATTCCTCTGAATGAACCAATCTGGATATTACTATTTTCAAATAGCTATGTATTTGGGCCCCCTCAAAGAAAATTGACAAATATTTGAACCAGTTTTTAAAGAATCTGAATATTACTTATTTACTATCTGAACAACAAATAAGTATAACTTTGCCTACCTTCAGAAATTTCTGATGATCTGTTTATCTGTTCAAGTTCCCAGCCCAAATGTAATGATTCATCCATACTTTGCTTCTGAGCCATTTCTAGTGACATATTTTCCTCCATAAGTTCCTCAATTTTCTTCCGATCCATATCGCGTTCCTTAAACAGTTTCATATAAACATTCTTTAAAACCTCCTCTCCAAAGGAACCACATATATTTCAGTAATCAAATTTTAGCCTAATGCTACTGTTTGAATCTTCTACTTTATTAGTGAAACTACAATAAGTTATCAGCAGCACAAAAACATCATAATTAAATCTAATGCACATACAATGCTTATAAAATATAAGGAATTATAAACTAAAGATTACAAAACTATTTAAATGGTTTTAAATATTTAGTATTTATAAAATGTTACATAATTCAATCAATAAGGGCATTGTTGTATTTCCAATTCAATAGATGGAAAAAAATCATAATCCGAAGTTCATGTCAGCTTTAGCCACTTATAATATACAGGTAGTCCACAACTTACAACATTCCTTTAGAGACAGTTCAAAGTTACAATGACACACAAAAAGTTAACTTTTGACCATTTTTCACACTTACGACCGTTGCAACATCCCTGAGGTCACTTGATCAAAATTCAGAGGCTTGGCACAAATGGCAATGTGTTTATGACGGCTGCAATATACCAGAGTCATGTGATCAACCTTTGCAATCTTTTGACAAGCAAAGTTAATGGGGAAGCCAAATTCGCTTAACAACCATGTTGCTATCTTAACAACTGCAGTGTTTCACTTAACAACTATGACAAGAAAGGTTGTAAAAGGGGCAAAATTCACAACTGTCTTGCTTAGCCACAGAAATTTTGGACTCAATTGTGGTTGTAAGACGAGAACTACCTGTACAACAGTAAAAAGGCAGTTTTTAAACTTTCTATTTGCTATTTGAAAAGAAAACTTATTTTGAAAGAAGCCATACAAATTTTCAACATCAATTCTTCTTTCAGTCTTCAAGTCATTAAATGCCTCGGGTTCTCAGAGCAATTGGACCAAACGTCCATCACTGAGTGATGCAGTAATAAAGTGTGACATCACATGACTACATCGCTTAGCAACTGCAATCCAATAGTCCCAATTGCCATTGTAGCCCCAGGACTGTGTAGCGTCAGTTCTTCAGCAGGAAGAGGCACGAGTCCCAAGTAATCAGGCCAACGGATAAAAGTTGCAGTTGAGAATATGGTAGTGCGGTGCAGTGGGCATATTTTGGAAGCTGCAATGGCACTGAACAAGGGGGCCCTATGACAAATCCTTATAGTTGTGGCTGTTGCAGCATTCCTGCAGTCATGTGATTGCCATTCAGGTGGTTGGCAACTGGATCACAATTACAACATCACAGAATACTGCAGTCATGTGATCACAATTTGCAACTTTCACTGCTGGCTTCCAACAAGCAAAGTCAATGGGGAAGCCAGCAGGAAGTTACAAATAGTGATCAGAGGACCACGGAACACTGCAACTGCACAAGATTTGTCTAACAATAACAATTCAAACTATGGAAATTGCTGTCATAAGTTGGTACAGGTACTGACTCCATTGCTTAGTGATGGAGTTCCCAGTCCCAGTTACCATTGGCAACTGAGGACTACCTGTAATTTTCTTCTAAAAAGTGACTTTCCCTATCCCATCCTGTATGCTCACCATCTCCATATCGTGGAGTTTAGCCTTTAATTGCAGATTCTCCTTTTCCAATTCATGCAATTTATCAGAACGGGCTCGGGTTCCCTCTAACTGATCTTCCAACATTGTCTTTGTTTCCAGTAATACTTGATTATCTTCTTTTAGCTCCTACAGTAATCAGTGAGAAATATGAAACTGACAATTAAATAAGAAACAAAGTAGTAAGTAAAAAAAGTTAAAATGGCACCAAACAAAATGTAAAAGCACTTGTTATATTTTACATTAAATTAATGTAACTAATCAACTATGTAATCATCTTTGTTGCTCTTCTTTGCACTCTTTTTAGAGTCTCAACATCTTTTTTACATCGTGGCGACCAAAACTGGATGCAGTATTCCAAGTGCAGTTTTACCAAGGCATTATAAAATGGTATCTCGACTGTATCCCTCTGCTAATGCAGCCTAAAACTGTGTTGGCTTTTTTGGCAACTACAGCACACTGCTGGCTCCTATTTAAATGATTGTCCACTAGGACTCCAAGGTCCCTTTAACAGTTACTACTATTGAGCCAGGTACCACCTATACTATACCTGTGCATTTGGTTTTTCTTGCCTAAATATAGAACCTTACTTTTTTCATCATTGAATTTCAATAGCACCTAATGTTCAAGTTTGTCAAGATCCTTATGTATCTTAAGCCTATCTTCTGGAGTGTTGGCTATTCCTGCCAGGTTAGTGTCATCTGCAAATTTGATGAGTTCCTTATCTATCCCTTCATCCAAATCATTGATGAAGATGTTGAAGAGTAGTGGGCCTAAAACAGAGCCTTGGGGTACCCCACTGCATATTTCCCTCTATGTAGCAGCAGTTCCATTGAGGACTACTACTAATAGGAGAATGCAAATATTTTTAGACCTGTAATATAAAACAAGATCAGCACAAACATAGAATTCTAATCAAATAATACCTTGGTTCATGTAAATATAATCAGTAAAAATGAACTTACATTTAACAAAAAATGTAATTTATAATCACCTCTATTCTAGCCTTGTAGAATTCAATATCGTGTAGCCTTTCTTTATATCGGCTGAGTTCACTTTCAAGCTTGTCAACCCGGATTGCCTTCTCTCTGAGAGCATCAAGTTCATCCCGATACACTCTGGCAGATCGGGCATCCGAAAGTAAACTCATATTCTAGCAAATAGGTCAAAAATATTTTAGTGTTTATGAAAAAAGTGATTTTGCAGAAGGCAAGAATAATATTATCTATTAACATGAAATCACACAGACATTAGTGTGCATGTAAAAGGGGAAACCAGTAAGCAAATTAACATTAGCATTTATTCAGAATACAAAATCAATACAGTAAGTAGCACAATATATATGTGGATTCCTATAAGAATTTTCTTACTAACAACATCATCATTGCATACAGGTTTGTAACCATCTTTTCTTCAAGATCATTAATATTGATATGCTGAGCATTGACTTTATTCTTATAGAATAAATTTTATAAAACACTGTTAACTAGGAATATTTCCCACAGACTAAGGAAGATGTGTAGTTCTTAAATATGGCAAATAAATAAATGAAAATTCATACTTATGATGAAAAAAGACTAGTAGTTATTGAATCTAAACTTATATAATGTTGAAAATTATGTTTTCCTTAATGTATTATTCATTTAGCAATATTGCCTGCTTCTTGAATTGTGCAGTTCAAATATCTAATTAGTTTGAATGTTTTCTTTTAGAGCCCAAATACATTATATTAGTTCTGATAATGAGAAAAAAATAACATAGGAAATGATCTGCTTGTAGAGAAAAAGAATGTATATAAAATAATGTCAGATCATTCTTTTCTGAAATTCTTCCAAAGGTATAAATAAAAGTTGATGGAAGCTGCATTCAATACATGCCTCCTTTCCTGAATGAAAACTGATTTGCCAAGTTTTAAAAACAGTATACGAAAGATTTCTAAAACAAAAACAAAAACCAGAAAACAACAAATGCACTGGTCAATCCCAGTGATGTTATGATTTTAAGTTTAAGATCCTATAGCCATTATTTAGTTGAAATCTTTTTAATTAAGATCCATTGTTTGAAACATGTATCAATAGAACACAAGCAACCACACTTCATTTCAACAAAACAGTCTAACCCATGATCTTGTATTCACAAACCTCTTGTTGAAGTCGCTTTAATTCAGTTTCATTCTGTTCAAGTTCTTGCTTACAATCCAGCAACTGTTCAGTCTTTTCCTCACTAAAAACAAAAACAAAAATGTTTTATTTACAAATATAAAAAAGTGTGATTTTACATTCCAGTTAATAATCGAACAAAGGAAACGTCACCAGCAAGTCATAATAAGTTCATTAAAATGGTAAAAATAAAGCAGTGATCAAGAATGGGCTGAAATATTGCTAAATTCCTTCCCTCTAGTGGTTTTTGCTCTCCTGATTTCCTCCTGTTACATCCAAGTACTTCAGGTCTGAAAAAGAGCTTAAGAACAAATACATAAGACAAAGAAAGCATATCAACTTCTCCAAATCTCTGTTCCTGATTATTGCTTTCTCCCGGAGCTGCTTTTTAAATGTTTTTACTTGTTTATTTTAAATAATAATGAAACTTATGTACTTGCTCATTAACAATAGTTGAATCCCCAATTAATACCACAGGTTGAGAAGATTTACATACATTATTCACATACTTCAGTATTCACTAACAATAGCTCTTCAGTCTATCCTCCCTATAGATGTACAGCTCAAACGGGTCAATTTTCTTCCTTGGAAAGACCAGTTACAGAGAACTTTATTATAGATTCTGGCTTTAATTAATTTGAGGAATACAGAAGTATTAATTTCTGAGTCCTTCAAAAGCAATATTTTCTCCATATTAAGACATTCTCCTTCCCTTTCCAATTATACAGTAATAGTTAATATTAGCCTACAAATCTGGCGATTTAGTATTACTGTTGGATCCAGTTTCACATTAATAATGTGAATTTAATAAAAATTAATTAAATATTCAACAAGGACTGTGCAAAATTAATGTGGGGATGGATTGCTCTGGAGAACCTTGGGACATTTCTTTTCTCTTTAGACTATTCTCAACTTCCTCCTCTTCTATGCTATTCTGGGATTTGGCAGTTTCCAGAAAAGCAAGACTTCTGACCTGGAAGTAGTTTGATAATGGACAACTTTTGCATATTCCTAATTCTACAATTCAATACCAGAAAGCTCACATATTCTAAAATGATTATAGCATACAAGATTTAAAATAATATATCCATAGTTCCAATGTCATGGTTCTGACAGATGAAACCCTTCAAAAGAACTTCAAGGCATTGTTTTCCTTAAAGAATCTTTTATTCGGGAAACAAAATATCAGCACTACATAGTTGAACCCAAAAACTAAATTCTCCTCCTCTGGATACAAAGTAACAAAGTACAATTCCCACTCCTAATAACAGTCATTCCCCATTAGCTTGAAGCACAGGCTTTCTCCTCAGCTCTCCAGCCCATCAGCTCTGGACCCAGTTTGTCCTTGGATTCCCACGGCAGAGTTATTATTATTTTGACTCACTGAACTCTCATTCCAATCCCCCCTCTCAGCACCAACTAATTCTAAAAGCATAGAGAAAATGGCTGCATTTTCATCTGTTGTCAAAGCAAGAACATCCAATGTTAGCAGCACTGACATCCGGCCCCCCTTACAAAAAGGACAAATCCTGTAATGAAAACAAAATCATACGTTAGGGGTTGCCTCTTGGTTTGTTAGGGTGTTTCTTATAGAACTTACCAATAAGTCTGTCAGCTTTTACATCGTTAGCTTTTACCCAGGTGGCTTCAGACAACGGATACCCATTCCATTGCACTAAGTACTGTAGCCTCCCCTTAAAAAGTCTAGAATCAAGAATACGCCTCACTTCATAGTGAGTCTATCCTGCTACTATGAGAGGTCCAGGTGCCTTCTTGGGGGGAGGTCGTAAGGTGGAATCCCAAAAAGGTTTCAGCAGGCTACAACGGAACACAGGGTGGACTTTCCCTAAGAGTCTGGGAAGCTTTAATTCTACCATGTTAGTGATCCTTATGATGGGGAAGGGTCCTAAGTATTTCGGTCCTAACTTCTTACTAGATAACTTAAGCCGTAAATATTTTTTGGACAAATAAACCTTCCTGCCACTTGGGATTCTTTTCATGGTGGCACATACAGCACAACTCCTGACATAGTTCTCTACATCCTGTTTCAATCCCTGCTACCAAAATTGCCAGCGAATTAGGCGTACTGTTTTTAGATATCCAAAGTGCCCAGCCTGTTTTACATCATGGCCATGCCGGAGTGTGTTAAGGCAGAGGGTTTCAGGCAAGTACAACTTCCCCCCTTTGTAAACCAACCCATCCCTGCATGTTAGGGAGGTTTGACTGTCTTTGAACCATTGGTCGGTGAGCAGCTCTTGTTTTATTTTCTTTGCCCCAGGGTCATCAAGGTTTGGGGCTCTCGAAGGTGGGACTCTGCATGGCGTTAGTTGAGAAAGTTTGTGGAGTAGATATAATTGCTTCATTAACCTTCTCACGCTGGCTCTTGTATTGGGGCAGTCTGGATAAAGCATCAGCTAAAAAGTCCCCCCCCCGGTATGTACTTTAAGGTGAAGTTAAATCGGTTAAAGTATTGCGCCTATCGTACTTGTTTCGGGGACAATTTGCGGGAGTTTTCAGTGCTTCTAGGTTTTTGTGATCAGTCCATACCTCAAAAGGCAGCTTGCTCCCTTCTAGATAGTGTTGTTGCACATTTGGGGGTTGCGGCCACCCCCATTGCTGTTGCTGCACCTCCAGCGGCTGTTGGCCTCCCTGCTTTGGCATCCCCCATTGCTGTAGAGGCCTCGGGCTGGGTGGCCTGTACGCGCGTTGGTCCGGGGTTCGGCTGTCTCAGTGGCGGCTCAGGCTCTTGCCTTGCTGGTGGCGCTCTGGGCTTCTGGAGGGGCGACGGCGCTCCGGGCTACCATGTCTGGAGCGGTGGCTGGGGCTGTCCCTGTCTGCGGGGCTGGTGGCTAATGTAGGTGGCTTTGTGGACGGGGAAGCCGCTTGCCCTGCACAAGTGGGACTGGGGCTTCCCCTTGGCATGAGTTGGTGACTGCCACGCTGATCATCATGATCGATCGCATATGGAGAATGGGAGGGTTGTTCCCCACTTATCTCTAGCTCCTCGAATCTCTCCACTAACTTCTCCACTGATTGACTACGGATTGTGGACAGGTACTTCCACTCACCAGAGTCCTCAACGGTAGTTGATTTCGTGGCTCTCCATCGGTCCGGGGACGTGACTTGAGAGAAACCCCTCTTCGTAGCTCAACCGTCTCTGCCTTTGAAGCACTTGATTGTGGCAAGGCCATCTCGAGGTGTCTGAAGTCTCCACTGGGTAGGGTCCAATCCGACGACCAGATCTGTTGTCTTCGCGGCTTGGGTCTTGTCCCCATCTGGGAGATCTGAGAAGTTTCCTTCTCCGCCAGCACACTGGCCTGCGCTCTCTCCTCTGAGGCAGCAGCCACGGCCGGGGTGCTGGTCTTAGGCGCCCCTTCCTTTTCCATGTTGAGATCTTCTCCGAATCTTTGTCGATCTATCCCTCGACTTTAGGGACAGCGACTGGAGCTCGGGACCCCAGGATGGATCGGTAAAAATTGTAGCTTTTGGTTTAATGTCATGGTTCCAACATATGAAACCCTTCAAAAGAACTTCGAGGCATTGTTTTCTTTAAATAATATTTTATTCGGGAAACAAAGTATCGGCACTACATAGTTGAACCCAAAAACTAAATTCCCCTCCCTGGATACAAAGTAACAAAGTACAATTCCCAATAATAGTCATAAAGCACATTCCCCAATTAGCTTGAAGCGCGGGCTTTCTCCTCAGCTCTCCAGCCTGCCAAAACATTATCAGCTCTGGACCCAGTTTGTCCTTGGATTCCCATGGCAGAGTTATTATTATTATTACTCACTGAACTCTCATTCCAATGCCCCCTCCCAGCACCAACTAATTCTAAAAGCATAGAGAAAATGGCTGCATTTTCATCTGTTGTCAAAGCAAGAACATCCGCTGTTAGCAGCGTTGACATCAGTTTGAAATACTTATATAGAAAATATTTTATAATAACAAAATTGTTATTATAAAACTAATAAAATTGTGGAAGAAATGAAACATACAAAGTTTGTGCAAACTCCTTGGGCCTTTCATTTAATGCTCCTTAAAAGAAATTTGAGAAAGTGATTGGGAAAAGTTGTGGAGGGTTCAGAAAGCCCCTTTGTACTTTGTTATGATGAGTAAAGAGAAGTTGAAATAGAACTGGCCATCACTGAGAAAGAGATCATATGGGCAATGAGCCAACTGCCAAACAAGACTCCAGTTGCTGACACCATCCCTGTGGAATTACTGAGACCTGTATCATTCAAAGTCATTAGAGACCTGTGCCGGAAAATTTGGGAAATCAACACATGGCCACAGGATTGGAAACTCTCGCTGTTTATTCTACTGCCGAAAAAGGGTGACTCTAAAGATAGCTCCAATTATCACATAATTGCTCTCATTCCTCACATCAGCAAGATTCTGCTTAAAATAGAACATCTAGTACGAACCATCAAAAGGGAATTACCAGATTTTCAAGCTGGCTTCCAAAAGGGTCATGGCACCTGCAATCATATTGCAAATCAACGCTGGATCATAGAAAAACCTTGTGAATATCAAATGATCATTTGCATCAATTACAAGAAAGCCTTCGATTACGTTGGTCATGAGAAGCCATGTAGAGCCCTACAAGACTTGGGGGTACCCGCACATCTGGTCAAGATGGTGCACTCACTGTACACAAATCAGGAAGCCACTGTGTGAACACCATATGGAAACATTGAATGGTTTAAGATAGAGAAAGTGGTGTGTCTCTCCCCTTTCTTATTCAACCTGTATGCCAAAATGATCGTGAGATAGCTAGATCTTGAAGAATCAAAAATCAGGATAAAAATTGTGGAAGAAACATCAACAATGTTCAATATGCTCGTGATACAACTCTCCTCTCAGAAACCAAAGAAGGCCTAGCACATCTGATCAAGAAAATCAAAGAAGAAAGTGAGAATTTTGGTCTCTTTCTGAACATCAAGAAGACCAAGCTCATGACCATGGCAAGGAATGGAAACATAAAAATAGAAACTGACAATGAAAAGATAGAATGCATGGAAAAGATCACTTTCTTAGGATCGCAGATCGCTCTAAGCAGTG